AACTATGAAAATCACAAAATTGATGTTATAAATGACAGACCAACGCTCCCTCTCCCCCTGTTAAAACCTACTTAGTACCGGGTAAACTATGTAAATCACAAAAGTAATGTTATAAATGACAGACCAACGCCCCCTCTCCCTGTTAAAACCTACTTAGTACCAGGTAAACTATGTAAATCACAAAATTAATGTTATAAATGACAGACCAACGCCCCCTCTCCCCCTGTAAAACCTACTTAGTACCCGGTAAACTATGAAAATCACAAAAGTGATGTTATAAATGACAGACCAATGCTCCTTCTCCCTCTGTTAAAACTCTCCCTCTGTTAAAACCTACTTAGTACCGGGTAAACTATGTAAATCACAAAAGTAATGTTATAAATGACAGACCAACGCCCCCTCTCCCTGTTAAAACCTACTTAGTACCAGGTAAACTATGTAAATCACAAAAGTAATGTTATAAATGACAGACCAACGCCCCCTCTCCCCCTGTTAAAACCTACTTAGTACCCGGTAAACTATGTAAATCACAAAAGTAATGTTATAAATGACAGACATACGCCCCCTCTCCCCTTGTTAAAACCTACTTAGTACCGGGTAAACTATGTAAATCACAAAAGTAATGTTATAAATGACAGACCAACGCCCCCTCTCCCCCTGTAAAACCTACTTAGTACCGGGTAAACTATGTAAATCACAAAAGTAATGTTATAAATGACAGACTAACGCCCCCTCTCCCCCTGTAAAACCTACTTAGTACCGGGTAAACTATGTAAATCACAAAAGTAATGTTATAAATGACAGACCAACGCCCCCTCTCCCTCTGTTAAAACCTACTTAGTACCCGGTAAACTATGTAAATCACAAAAGTAATGAAGAATTCATATAAAAGTCTACAAAACAGGATTATATTGTGTATTGTCATATTTGTGTTTTTAGCTCAGTGGGAAAAGCATCGGTCTATAATACCACAGGTGAAGATCAAAGGTTCATGGCTTGAGACTTAGTTCCCTTGCCAGTTCTGTGTTTCTCAGGAAGCTGACAAAATATCAGCCTGTTCTTTCATAAACGCATCGTTGAGCAAAGATTCTTCAACCTAATTGCTCTGGATTGCATGTAATAAATCTCCCATATGGTGTTCAGTTAGGCAGATACCAGCTACTACAACAAGATTTTACCTTAAAATGACCCTGGCTGTTCACAGGATGATAAACATATAAACAAATTATTATACAACTATAACAGGTCAGACATCGAGAGAAAAAAATGACCCTGATTGTTTACAATAAACCCAAAAAATCATCAGTAAAAGAATGAATGGGTTTTTTACTATGAGAAGGGACCAGTGACCCCCTGCAGAATCAAGGACTTTCTTTCATGCCTAGTGTAAGTAATGAAAAGATTGCTTTCCAACACAAACAAATATTTCTGTTACTGTAATTTATCAAGATGTATAAGATAGCAATTCTAAAGAATGGAGAATTTATATTCCTTATAACAAGGATGTTCTCATGTAATCAGAGTTCTCTGGTACGCCCAGTCCAAAGAGTCTCTCAAAGCTGGTTTTATTCTCATCCAATCTTACAAACAGTCTGTCAAAGCTGGTTTTTATTTTCAACCAGTTTTATATCACGTAAGGTGATAAGCCTAAAATGATATTAAAACCAAAATACCTTCTACATGCTAGACATTGATACCTGTTGAACAATGTTCACTTTCTATCACTGATGTCTATTCTTATTTCCACCAGTATGTTTGTTGATAAATACTACAATTAATGTCTTGTCTTTACCCCTTGTACATACTTACACAGATAAACTAACAACAATGTAAAACCGATACACGTTTCACACTAGGAATGTAACATATTCCCATCACCAACACTTCACTGAACACCTGTTATAGTTTATTTGTGAATCATACGTGCTGAAACAGTAGAGGTTTCTAGACTGTGCAATATTGTACAAGGGACAATAAGCACATGTTTACATTGTTCAGTCCTTAGATGCAGTCAGAACAAGAACTATATCAGTATTATTTCCCTATCAACATCATGTTATAACTAGTCATGAATCAACAATCACTGGACATTCCAACACTGATTCTTAAATTAATTCAGATCGACATTTCAAAATCCTCTCCATTTATCACAAGTTATGGTTTCTTATTTGGTTAAAGTGTTGTCATGTTTTTACTGCTACAAGGTTGTCATCAGGACAGATTTTATCAGGTCTCAGGTCTTCGGACTGCTATGAGGTTGTCACCAGGACCATAAACATATTTCATCAGGTCTTAGGTACCAAATTGTGTTCAAATATATTTTATATGGTTGTTACTTGTCAGGACACCATGGAAAACACAGCAACTGTTTCAAATGTATCAGAAACTAAGAGAAGCCATGCAGAAAGTTGAAATAAATGAGCAGTTCTCAACTGGTTTGTCCATATAAGGATTGAAATGCAAGTGCACACCGATGTTAATGTGAAAAAGATGCAGTTAAATCCTTTATGACAATTTCAGATGTCAGTTCAAAGCGGATGAAAAATTATCTATTTTTCAAATACAATTGGTACAGCAATTTTTTCATAATAAAAAAAATGAAGTACCATCTAAAATATACATTTATTTGATCCATGTTATGGAAATTAAGAACTTCAGATCAAATCAAATTCTTTAATGAAATATTGCAAATATGTGTAACATGATCACATGGTCTTCCATGCTCAATTAAAACTTGATGAACCTTTTCTATGTGATATTTCCTTTAATAATCAACTCTGCAGTCTTAATGACCCATCAACATCATAAATAAGGTCAACAAGAACACACAATACAACATGTACGATAGAAACATGAAGAATTCATATTATGGGAGACCTGTCTTGTACTTGGGAGTCATGAGTATGTAGTCCAGTTTCAGCTTAAGAAGCTGGGAATGTGGTCAGACAATGGGTGTGGTATACATGATAAGTTGTAAACAATACCACAAACATGAACCAGATTGCCCCTCCCAGTAAACTAAGCATAAAACCTCTATATCTACAGCCTTCAGGACCAATTATGTTGTCTGTGTTATAATCATCATTTTATAATATATTTCTTTCCAAACAGACATTGTTCTCCAAGATCAATTTCCCTAATATGTAACATAGCTGTGTTTAAGCCTTGTTAACTTACCATAACAAATTAATATCCTTTTTAAAAACTTACAGGATGGTATGTAAAGCTACTCAGACTTTGCTGATAATTTTGTATAGCCAGTCTGACATGAGGAGGATGAGTGACCTAGAATAGCCCTTTTTCATGCTTAGTTTTACAAAGGACTTTACAATTTTTATTTTCCTTCTTTATACATATGCTACATACGATCATTTATATTATTGCAGAATTATGTTCAGATATTGGTACAATATTACAAAACATCTGCCGATATATAGACTGGCTGTAGTACTTATACAGTCGAAAATCTGTCAGTATATAGACTCGCTGTAGTATACAATAGAAAATCTGTCAGTATATAGACTGGTTGCAGCAGAAATGCTTTCATCTATCAACCACATGACCTGGGTTTTGAAATTCAGAGTTTGAAGATGAACTACATCTTTTATCTTCTTTTTTATTTCTATCACAGCAAGTATCAGATTAATTTTATCGTGTCTCAAATACTGAATCTTGTATGGCTCTGGGATATAAAACTGATGGCTAAACATTCTTTATTGGAAGTGAAATTTTGAATACAATTTCATTTTGAATGTAGTATACCAAAATGAATGCCACAAATTTGAATGTAGTATATCAAAATGAATGCCACAAATTTGAATGTAGCATATCAAAATGAATGCCACAGATTTGAATGTAGCATATCAAAATGAATGCCACAGATTTGAATGTAGCATATCAAAATGAATGCCACAGATTTGAATGTAGCATATCAAAATGAATGCCACAAATTTGGATTATAAGCAGGGTTTTCCATAAGAGCCGGTCGCCGGCCAATTTGACCGGCTACTTTGATCAGTTGGCCGCCTACAACAATCGAGTTCCATAATAATGTTCTGTACACGACTACACGTACACGGTAGGCCAGCCTCCTACTTTCACTACACAGCCTACTACTAACAAAATTATGGAAAACCCTGTATAAGCATGTTAGGTAATGTCAACAACTATTGTACATGGCCAATTTTCAAGTGAACCAATGGTATTTCAAAGCCTGAAAATGTTGTTGTAATGGACGAATTGTAAGTAATAGCCTCCAGCCACTTCACCTTCCCACTGATGCCAAGATACCATGGGTTTCTCTTGTCAGGATTTTATCATCTTCCACTGTCTATATTTGTTTGCTAATATAATGCACCACACATGTTTAATATCTGATGTATTATAAACTCAATCAAAATTTGTAGAATTTTTAAAAGAACTTGGCTAAAATTCATATTTGTTTGACAAAGTATGTGGATGCTGTAAAATTTCAAGAACATGATTTCATAAGACTTGATCAAACTAATTCAATGATTAATTCCTTATATGGATAAACACACTTACATGTAAATAGTTTTAGAACCATTAATGCATTTCAATCTTTTTTTCTTTTATGCGAAAGAAATGTGCTTGGCATTTGAACAGTGTGATTACAATTTACAGGTATAAGTGACTGCAGATACAGTACAGGTGTATTGACAAGTGTACACAGACACATTATGCACATCTAAGTATTGTATATGCTTGTACCGCGTCGATAATGATTTTTTTCTCATAATTTTGTTATGGTTTTGTCAGATTGGTACCAGTCCCAAGATGTTTTGGAAAACGTTTATGTATTTTCTTCTACCAATTTACCTGTCCCCAGGTGAGGTTCAGGTGAGAACTGCGATTGGTTTTTCGTATCACTTGTCTCAGTCGTCATTGGCGCCATTACAAAAATAAAGTTTGAAATATTATGGACGGATAATCATATATTTTTTAAACAGGTGCACACTCGATTGGCACATCTAACATACCTTGCACTTGTTTGTGGCCTGTCTGTACCGGCTTTCCACTCAGGGGATGCAACCAAGACGTCGTCTGAAGTCGGTCACTGTCAACACAGGTAAATATTATCAACTCGTATCAAATAAACATGGACGTTTATCCAAGCGATTTTTCAACAAAGCAGGTAAGAGACTGACATGAACCACACAGGTGTACTTACTCAATAAAGAATATCCTCCCGTCCCTCGTCACACCATAACTCAGGTGTGCAGGTAGCCTTTCCCGAGGGAGGTTCGCCGCCATGTTCGAAAAACTTGGGAAATTACCTTTCGCTGTTCCAGTTCCCTCCCCCTGATAAATATTTGACATAACAATAGTATGAGAATTGGGGGACGCATAAGGGATTTCTTTAAAAGAAACAAAATAATTTGAATGTTTCTACATGTATATTAGTGATATGATGTTTTTGGTACCGGCTATTAAATTTGAATTAGGTTAAATTATAATAAACCCAGGATGAGTTAGCGTCCAGTACGTAAACACCAAGTTTGTATACATAATACACATATTTTTCAGTTATTGTAGTAGAAAATAGACAACAGTTGCAGTAAACCAGTCAAACCAGGTTTCATTTATCATTCATTCTTTAAACACAAAAATAGTCTACGTTATTACTGCTTTATTATCATAAAAATGCGGGATTTAAAAAAATCTCACACTGGGCATAGAAACTTTAACTTACTGAATTTGTAACTGTTAACACTGTGATTAAGGAGTTTCAGGATACGCCTAATTTGTTTGTAATTTAGAAATTAGAAATACATGCAAAAAGCAAAAATGAAAAGGGAAAAAAAATGCTGATACCACACAGCAGAAACTTTCTTTACTTGTTTGCTTTAGTTTTTTCCATCAAATTGTATAGAAATTACGGAGGACCCTCAGAACTGCTAGAATATGAGTTTATTCAAACATTAAGTCTGAAAAGTGTAACGGTATCATAAGTATTTTATCTCTTTTATCTGTAGATCAGAAAATGTTATATCAAGTACTGAACATGGAAACAACGAAGGGCTAGATTAATCAGTGATTGATTGACTGTCTGTAAAATTGAGTGTTTTCACCCATATTGATTTTTAATTAACTTTGTCTCTATAACTTACGATGTAATGGAGTATATGCGACATTTCTATAAATTGTGAAACAAAATATAGATGAATTCATAAGGATTATTGGCCTTTTTAACATGTAATCCGTGATGGCATAACTGTAGATATTTTACTTGAAGGAAAAAGTCCTCTCTCTCTCTCTCTCTATATTAACTAGAATGTCTTATATGTTATAGTAAAAACCTTGAAAAACAAAAACAAAGAAAAAAACAAAAAAAAAAAAAAAAAAAAAAATACAAATATATATATATTTATTTATTTGAGTAAATACATAAGACATCTGTAGATCTTGTTCACAACCAGTTCCAGTTCTGTTGTAGATCATGTTAACGGTTAATTCCAGTTCTGTTGTAGATCATGTTAACGGTCAATTCCAGTTCTGTTGTAGATCATGTTAACGGTCAATTCCAGTTCTGTTGTAGATCTTGTTCACGGCAACTTCCAGTTCTTTTGTAGATCATGTTAACGGCCAGTTCCAGTTCTGTTGTAGATTTTGTTCACGGCCAATTCCAGTTCTGTTGTAGATCTTGTTCACGGCCAGTTCCAGTTCTGTTGTAGATCTTGTTCACGGCCAGTTCCAGTTCTGTTGTAGATCTTGTTCACCGCCAATTCCAGTTCTGTTGTAGATTTTGTTCACGGCCAGTTCCAGTTCTGTTGTAGATCTTGTTCACGGCCAATTTCAGATCTGTTGTAGATCTTGTTAACGGCAAATATTGATTTAAGTCGATAAGAGTTATCTCCCTTGTAGTATAAACCCGCTATAGACAGCAGGCCTCTGTTATGCATTGCACCAGATCATTTTGACATAGCTTACAATGATCTGGAATAAATTGCAAAATGGACATGTACAAACTTGGTATGAAATCATTGACTGTGGATCCAATAAGATAGAAAGAGTTTTTGAGAGCTGAAAATAATATACTGTACATTGTATGACATGTTTAAATTGACGGTGGAGTGTCGACAGCGGTATATATTACGCATAATTATTACTTATTACGCATGTTTACCCAATATCTACATTTCTGTTCTTGTTTATGTCTTTTCATGGTATGACGCGGAATATTCACTCTTGAACCTTATATATTTTAACTAATCTAGGGTAACCAACTGTGTCGACAACATGATAAACACGTAACTGCGGTAATGTAATTAGATTTAGTACAAGTATGTATAATAATGGTATGCAGGTATCGTTTTGGTAATTTTGGTAACAGCAAATTTATTTCTACCATTTAATTATATTTTCTTTAAGAAAAGCGCATGATCGGAAGTCTCGTCTGACTGCAGTGTGGATTAAGGAAAACAAAAAGAAGTACGAATAAGATTGGCGAACCATGTCAAACTGTAGTAAACCTTTGTTCTTGTACTTAGGTCATTTGTGTGTCCATCGTGATCTCGGTTGATAGAAGTGCTGTTGTTTTTTCTGTAGTATTTTCATATTGTACTTTATTTCAGAAGGAAACAACAAGAACTTACTTACACAAGAGCAAGATCATAATCCAAACGCGATTTCAATAAACCAGGGCAAAATATGAACAAGGGATTTACACGAAGATCAATGAAAACTACACGGAGAATAATACCAGGTGTTCCGGAAAAGTAAGCGTCTACTGCTTCATTGTCTACACCCACTATGTAAATACTGGTCAATCTAAGTAATTAGTATCATGTTCTCAATTGACAACAAGATAAACATAGTTGGTTTCTTTCCTATGTCATAGCCCTTGGACTCTGAAACTTCCAAAGGTGTCGTCTGTTCAGGTTCTGTGTGTGTATAAATTTTATGATGCAGTTTAACCCATTGTTTGAGTGTATTTTTGACTATCTTTTTTACCTACAATAATTTGGTCATTTGGAGATATTACAGAGCCTTAATTCCTAATTCACTCAATCATTTTCTGCTCTTGATGTTATGGATCAATTCCACCAAGGGATTTGTTTGTGGATCAATTCCACCAAGGGATTTGTTTGTGGATCAATTCCACCAAGGGATTGGTTTGTGGATCAATTCCACCAAGGGATTGGTTTGTGGATCAATTCCACCAAGGGATTGGTTTGTGGATCAATTCCACCAAGGGATTTGTTTGTGGATCAATTCCACCAAGGGATTGGTTTGTGGATCAATTCCACCAAGGGATTTGTTTGTGGATCAATTCCACCAAGGGATTTGTTTGTGGATCGATTCCACCAAGGGATTTGTTTGTGGATCAATTCCACCAAGGGATTGGTTTGTGGATCAATTCCACCAAGGGATTTGTTTGTGGATCAATTCCACCTAGAAATACTTTCCACTCTGGATGATTGCGAATCCTTTCCACAAAGGAATTCGCTCTGCTCTGAATGATTGTGGGCTGTTTTTACCAAAGTATTTATTCTGCACTGGTAATTGTGGATTCTTTCCGCCAAGAATTTTTTTCTGCTGTGAATGATTAAGAATAATTTCTACCACGGAATTATTTATTTCTGCTCTGTAAATTCTTTCTGTTGTGGATAATGGTGAATCTTTTCTACTAATGAATTCTTTCTGTTCTGGATAATGGTGAATCTTTTTCTACTAATGAATTCTTTCTGTTCTGTATAATGGTGAATCTTTTCTACTTATAAAATCTTTCTGAACAGACTATTGACCTGTATCTGATGAGGTTAATAAGTTTCATCTCAAACAAATACTTTTCAAATATATCGCCTTGTGATTGTTATACATATGTAATTTTCCGTATATTTGAGTAGAAATTTGAATCAAAACCCGGTTCCTGATTCTAAATACTGTAATTAAACATTAACAAATTCAGGTAGATAAGAGTTGCTTCCCTTGTGTTAGATTGCACTATTATCATTTCTAATAACTATACGATGACCAATCCCTGTGATGTTAAGTGTGGGAGAGGACTTAAATAGGCTCTGCCTGATGTCCAGTCCCTGTGATGTTATGTGTGGGAGAGGACTTAAATAGGCTCTGTCTAATGTCCAGTCCCTGTGATGTTAAGTGTGGGAGAGGACTTAAATAGGCTCTGCCTGATGTCCAGTCCCTGTGATGTTAAGTGTGGGAGAGGACTTAAATGGGCTCTGCCTGATGTCCAGTCCCTGCGATGTTATGTGTGGGATAGGACTTAAATAGGCTCTGCCTGATGTCCAGTCCCTGTGATGTTATGTGTGGGAGAGGACTTAAATAGGCTCTGTCTAATGTCCAGTCCCTGTGATGTTAAGTGTGGGAGAGGACTTCAATAGGCTCTGCCTGATGTCCAGTCCCTGTGATGCTAAGTGTGGGAGAGGACTTCAATAGGCTCTGCCTGATGTCCAGTCCCTTTGATGTTATGTGTTGGAGAGGAAATAAATAGACGCTTGTCAGAAAGTAAATATTCTGATTAAGGTGACGTTAAGAATCTTAAATTTGTTTCCATTTCATATGAGATCTTTTAAAACTCGTCTCTAAGTTTTGTTTCATTCGAATATTGGCATGGTTCAGAATATACTAGTATACATGACATTGTTCTAAAATTATCAGGTATAAGGTCTTCTCTGTGAATCAATCCCAATTGGGTAATGATGCAGGGGTTTCTTATTTGAGTGAATCACTATGTAGAAATAACCTCATGTAACTCTTGTGTTAATCACGACTTTGCTGAAAATTACAGCACACTCGCTTAAAAAAAACGGTTAATACTTAGAGCTACCATATCTTCTTTATCAAACATTTTCTTTTGAAAATAATTCAGTCCTTCTAACAAAACGTTGTCGTGTGCAACAACACAAAATATTTGAAAATTATACATGAATGGAAGGGAACATAATTTTAGTCGATTGAAATGGTTTTCCATGAATAATTTTATCATTGAATTTCAGCTGCAGTTTAACATATACCTTACCTTGACCGTAGATTGACTTTAAACATACAAAGAAGTTTTCATGAAAGCAATCTGATGTGTTTAAGTTGCATTTTATTCTGTATTAAGTATGTATTACGTAAACATTACTTATAGGTTTCCTATAAACAATATACTGCTATCTTTACAACATGACTATCTGGCACGTTTACAATATTCGTTTCTTAATATCAAAATGTTCTTATATATAGTTATAATGGATTTACAGAGCTGATATACAAAACTATAGTTGGTAGTTATATAGTACTGTTGATTACAGACGTCTATATATAAACAGTATCAGACTTTATAATAACTATTAAAGATAAAATACATTATCATGTACTCAATAAAATTATCAAAGGCAGCAGGTGAAATGTAACTTTCACACTTTAGACTTTTTCATTTTATTTTTGTAGCCGTAGTCCAGCTCTGCCCCGCCCGACAGATTCACATCGATCCCAGTACAAAAGGTGGCTTCAGCAGCGAGATATAGACACAGGAGGCCACTCTCCTCCAACGTACCATAGCGTCCTATCAGCTGAAATACATGTGATAAGTAACACAAGGGATTAAGGTCAATAATCTAAGTCAATATTCTGCAAAAAAAAAAAAAATATATATATATATATAAATAAATAAAAATCAAGTTAAAGGTCATTCACTTCAGATACATTCTGGGACGCACCGGATATAATAATTATGTTTGAATTACTGACCGAATATAATAATTATGTTTGAATTACTGACCGAATATAATAATTATGTTTGAATTACTGACCAAATATAATAATTATGTTTGAATTACTGACCGAATATAATAATTATGTTTGAATTACTGACCGAATATAATAATTAGGTTTGAATTACTGACCGAATATGATAATTAGGTTTAAATCACTGACCGAATATAATGATTAGGTTTGAATTACTGACCGAATATAATAATATAATATGTTTAAATCACTGACCGAATATAATAATTATGTTTAAATCACTGACCGAATATAATAATTATGTTTGAATTACTGAATTACTGACCGAATATAATAATTAGGTTTAAATCACTGACCGAATATAATAATTATTTGTTTGACCGAATATAATAATTAGGTTTAAATCACTGACCGAATATGATAATTATGTTTAAATCACTGACCGAATATAATAATTAGGTTTAAATCACTGACCGAATATAATAATTAGGTTTAAATCACTGACCGAATATAATAATGTTTGAGATTACTGACCGAATATAATGATTATGTTTAAATTACTGACCGAATATAATGATTATGTTTAAATCACTGACCGAATATAATGATTATGTTTAAATCACTGACCGAATATAATGATTATGTTTGAATTGACTATAATGATTATGTTTGAAATTACCGAATATAATAATTATGTTTATAATATAGGTTTAAATCACTGACCGAATATGATAATTATGTTTAAATCACTGACCGAATATGATAATTATGTTTGAATCACTGACCGAATATAATAATTATGTTTGAATCACTGACCGAATATAATAATTAGGTTTAAATCACTGACCGAATTTAATAATTATGTTTGAATTACTGACCGAATATAATAATTATGTTTGAATTACTGACCGAATATAATAATTATGTTTGAATTACTGACCAAATATAATAATTATGTTTGAATTACTGACCGAATATAATAATTATGTTTGAATTACTGACCGAATATAATAATTAGGTTTAAATTACTGACCGAATATAATGATTATGTTTAAATCACTGACCGAATATAATAATTATGTTTGAATTAATAATTATGTTTGAATTACTGACTATAATAATTATGTTTGAATTACTGACCGAATATAATAATTATGTTTAAATCACTGACCGAATATAATAATTAGGTTTAAATCAATATATATAATAATTAGGTTTAAATCACTGACCGAATATAATAATTAAATCACTGACCGAATATAATGATTATTTTAATCACTGACCGAATATAATGATTATTTAAATCACTGACCGAATATAATAATTATGTTTAAATCACTGACCGAATATAATAATTAGGTTTAAATCACTGACCGAATATAATAATTAGGTTTAAATCACTGACCGAATATAATAATTAGGTTTAAATCACTGACCGAATATGATAATTATGTTTAAATCACTGACCGAATATAATAATTATGTTTAAATCACTGACCGAATATAATGATTAGGTTTAAATCACTGACCGAATATGATGATTATGTTTAAATCACTGACCGAATATAATGATTATGTTTAAATCACTGACCGAATATAATGATTATGTTTAAATCACTGACCGAATATGATAATTAGGTTTAAATCACTGACCGAATATAATAATTAGGTTTAAATCACTGACCGAATATAATAATTATGTTTAAATCACTGACCGAATATAATGATTATGTTTAAATCACTGACCGAATATAATGATTATGTTTAAATCACTGACCGAATATAATAATTATGTTTAAATCACTGACCGAATATAATGATTATGTTTAAATCACTGACCGAATATGATAATTATGTTTAAATCACTGACCGAATATAATAATTAGGTTTAAATCACTGACCGAATATAATAATTATGTTTAAATCACTGACCGAATATAATGATTAGGTTTAAATCACTGACCGAATATAATAATTAGGTTTAAATCACTGACCGAATATAATAATTAGGTTTAAATCACTGACCGAATATAAAGATTATAGAGTAGACGTTGCTTCCTCTTTCTTATGTGCTTTAACTTTAAAGAAAGAAAGCGTTGCATTAGTAGATTAGAGAAAGCTGTATTACACAGGTGTTACAGGAAAGGCATACCTGAGCATCCTCTCCAGCTTGTTTAGCTGCCACGGGATCGGGGGCAGATCTGGCTTCCTGCTCCCACATCGGGGTCCACACGTTTCCAGGTGAAAATCTGTAATATACCAAATTATATAGGCTTGTTACTAATTCCACGGAGTTTGAATGTAGAATTTTGAGACTACTTAAGAAATACTTATATTTTGTTGGAATGCTTTATTTGACGATGTCCTGTATACTCACACATTCACACGAACTCCATGTTCTGCTTCGTCTATTGCCAGGGCTTTTGTGAAGGAGGTGATGGCGCCCTGTAAAATATCTCATTTTAATTGGATGTTTTTTCCGACTTCGTAATCGTAAAATTCAACATCATCAGTCCAACATCTGAGAATTATTTGATATTGTTTTCCGGCCGTCAAACATTTAAAACACACACACACACACACACACACACACACACACACACGCACACACACACACACACACACACACACACACACACACACACGCACGCACACACACACACACACACACACACACACACACACACACACACACACACACACACACATATATATATATAATTCCTAAAATTTAACATTCTACATTAGAAACAGAAACCACAATATTACAGTTACAGATATACAACAGAGGAGCCGATAACACACCGTCTAAAATAACGTCACTACAGGTTGGACCTAGCTAACACCGATAAGTGTGCTATACCAAGTCGAGCTGCATAGCATACTCTGAATGTTAAACATTGGATAGTCAAGCTGTACAAAATTCGAATTTTCAATGTTGAATGGCATTTGTTGAGCGCTACAACTTCAAAAAAATTGGAATGATGTCCTAAGACCAGCATATTCCTTCATATGAAGATAGAATTATATAGCCTTAAGATGGCCCACATTAGCAGGTATATTTTCCTCACAGCTAATGTTGTTATCAAAGTTCAGGAAACCTGGAACTATCACTATATACCTATATATAACTAATTCTATCATCTAAATCTTCATATCAAGTCACTATATACCTATATATAACTAATTCTATCATCTAAATCTTCATATCAAGTCACTATATACCTATATATAACTAATTCTATCATCTAAATCTTCATATCAAGTCACTATATACCTATAGATAACGAATTCTATCATCTAACTCTTCATATCAAGTCACTATATACCTATAGATAACTAATTATATCATCTAAATCTTCATATCAAGTCATTACATACCTATATATAACTAATTCTATCATCTAAATCTTCATATCAAGTCACTATATACCTATATATAACTAATTATATCATCTAAATCTTTATATCAAGTCACTATATACCTATAGATAACTAATTATATCTATCATCTAAATCTTCATATCAAGTCACTATATACCTATATATAACTAATTATATCATCTAAATCTTTATATCAAGTCACTATATACCTATATATAACATATATCATCTAAATCTTCATATCAAGTCACTATATACTATATATAACATCTAACTCTTCATATCAAGTCACTATATACCTATAGATAATCAATTCTATTATCTAATTCTTCATATCAAGTCACTATAAGTTACTAAAAGAAAAAGAAAAATAACATTTCAATAGAAACGGTGATAGCAGAGTTAATTTGTACTCTATATGTGTTTCATTTCCTTTCCGAGTAATAGGAAACTTTGTGGCGACCTTGACTCTGAACTGATAGTACACGTGCTGATATAATCTTGATAACTGACCTATAGACAGATGTAATGGTCAGTACGACAACTGACCTTGGTGGAGACGTAGGCTGTGGCGCCAGGCTGACCTATCTGTCCAACTAAACTGGAAGCGTTGATGATGTTTCCTTTGGTTTTTCTCAGATATGGCAAAGCAAACTTAAATAAAGATCATTTTCAGTAGTAAACATTCCATACATAATATCTAACATTAAATATTAAATGTTATTTGATCTGGATAACAAGAGGCCCGTGGGGACTGTATCACTCATCTGATTTTTTGGGGTGACTTTACTTCATCCGAAATAAAGGAAATGAGTTCTCAATTTCCAAGCACACAACACACATTATATATTTGTACAATGGGTCTTAAATTTTGGCACAATCCAACCATTCCTGTATGAATTTAAAGAATTTGCTCTATTTACCCTATTAGACCCCGCTCCTTCCGCCCCAGGAGGCCTAGACCCACCATTTATACAGACTTTGATTAGCTTTCCCAAAGGATGCTTCTGACTAAATTTGGTCAAATTCTGCACAGTCATCCATATCTAGGAGCAAGTTGAAGAACGTACGACGGACGGACGGACGACGGACCCTGCGACATGATATAGGATTAGGTGATCTATAAATCCTAATTTTTAAGATCCAGTCATATATGACGTATATATGCATTTGATCATTTCATATCATTAGACGCTTTTGTATTTCAGGATTTTATTTGATATTGGAAACGCTTTCAATCATATATATCTATATCATGTAATGAATGAACAAGCAGTTATCGCTGTTGTTTGATCGGCAAAACGAGTTTTTCCCGAATATATCAGTGATTGTTGAAAGTGATGAAGCATAAAATAATTTCAAATAACCAATTTTATAAAAAAAAATGTCTTTGAAACTAAATTTACAGATTAGAGATATCTTTAATTGCGGTTTACCTTGGAAAACAGGAAAATACTGACAAGATTCACATCCAACAGTCGGCGGAAATCATCCCCAGATATCTCATCTATGGACGTGTGTGAAGGATCTACCAGAGAAAAAGGCGTGTTGATGGATAAACGGTAGACTATCATATTATTGGAGTGTGTAAATATCGTGAAATCTTAAGTTTAACTTCAAAATCGTTGGACTCTGGATTATATCTCTCCTGCTACGTGATGTGGTAAGGCTACTAAGAATACATTGTTTCAGATTAAAAATATGAGGTATTTTGAGTGTGGGTCAAATTGTTTGACATTGATAAGTGTGGGTTAGACCAACATTGTTTGGCATTGTTGAATGCGGATCCGATCAACATTGTTTGGCATTGTTGAATGCGGGCCCAATCAACATTGTTTAGCATTATTGAATGCGGGTCCGACCAACATTGTTTGACATTGTTTAAACCAATATTGTTTGGCATTATTGGATGCGGGTCCGACGAACATTGTTGACATTATCGAATGCGGGTTCGATCAACATTGCTTGACATTGTTCAGACCAACATTGTTTGGCATTGTTGAATGCGGGTCCGAACAACATTGTTGACATTGTCGAATGCGGGTCCAACCAATATTGTTTGACATTGTTCAGACCAACATTGTTGGCATTGTTGAATGCGGGTCCGACCAACATTGTTGACATTGTTGAATGCGGGTCCGACCAACATTATTTGATATTGTTGAATGCGGGTCCGACCAACATTATTTGATATTGTTGAATGCGGGTTTGACCAACATTATTTGATATTGTTCAGACCAACATTGTTGGCTTTGTTGAATGCGGGTCCGACCACATTGTTTGGCGTTGCTGATTCTGGGTCCGACCAACACTGTTTGGCATTGTTGAATGCGGGTCCGACCAACATTGTTTGGCGTTGCTGAGTGGGGGTCAGACCAACATCGTTTTGTACTAGTTAGTGTGTCCTAGACCTACATCATATTATTGTAGTATAGGATAGTTCCCTATGTGTTTGAACTTGTGATATGACGTACGTTGTCCGGCGTTGTTAATGAGACAATCAATCTTCCCATACTTCTCAACTGTTTTGGCAATCACATGCTGTTAAGTAAATTTAATATATTAGAAATCCAAATCATGGTGATAAGTTCACATATTACATGACAATGGCTGTGAATCGAACGTAAAACAGATGTATCATATACCTCCAAACAAGTAAAATATATCTGTTTGATACACTATTACATGATACAACTTATATAACAAGCTTACGATCAAAGATTTTAACGCTTTTGACACCTTATAACTTGAAAATGGGTCAAGGTCATTCATTTGAACGAACATAAACTTTTATCTCAACATTCTACTAGCCAATACTATGACTCGGAGTCTCTGGGTAATTATAAAGAAGTCGATTCGTGATTTGAAAACTGGTCTGGGTAATCTATTCTAACAAGTGGTAACCCATCATCCCAGCAGTCTGCTGAATCGCCTGCGGACCGGTGAGCTAATCAATGCATAAATTGGGCATGAAGAATACACGTGTATATCCTTAAATAAAGATATTGGTTCATAAATACCTTTATATCGGCTTCTTTGGAAACATCACACGTGATAAAGAAAGCTTCCCCGGGACCTCGCTTATTCATTTCTGCCTCCAGTTCTCTACCTTCTTTTTCTATAACAATATAAACCATTTCTAAGTAACTGGTACAACATCATGATCAGGAATACCCAAATGAAGTAAATGTTTACTCCTAAGCACGTACCCGTGGTGGAATATAATATTACAGTTAATACAGCCGGGTAGTTAACGTATCTTCAACACATCACCTGGTCTCAACAAAATTGACTTTATACTGATTCTACATCAACAGACCATTGGCCATACTTACAAGGCGCCACTACAGAAATGAATTACCATTTCTATCACTACCTTATTTGTCGTAAACCTACTTTTCGGTCGAAACTGTTGACGTGCCTAACATCCATGCCTACCCTTATTTTCCCCTATATTCTTCAATCTCCCAGTATACCGAACGACGTAGGTACTTCACGTGAAACTCTGAATGCTGACTTCGTGATTAAGGGTAAATTAAGGGGATGTCCATAAATTAGAGGAGAGTGGGTTGATGAAATTTTATAGGTACGGATTTCATTAGGAAATGACAAGGAGAGCAGGCAAAAATACTTATAGATGAACACTTACCTCCCCTTGCACAAAACGCCACCTTGGATCCATGTTTTACTGAAGTAAAAAATAAAATGGATGAGAAAAAACCGCTCTCTTTAAGGATTATCATTCTATCGCGGGATAACTATTATAATTGAATTCAGTAAATTTTACATAACTGGCCGATAACCTTAGCAAAATTCTTATATATACATTATTTCTTTATCGAAATAATCGCGTTTTTATCGATTCCAAACTTAAACACACAAAAATAACACGAACATTCAGTTTATCGACGTACAAAAACTACCACCATGGAACACCGTTTTGTTTCAGTCGATGTTATACCACAGCAACACTATGAACATTATTTTTTCCTTTGATAATTCAAATATATTCGGCAAACAGTTGCTAATCACAAAATACGAACATTCATTTTATTTACATTTCGTAAAAAAACCCGTGAAAATCAACAAAGAATGATATAAGGGACGAGCCTCGTTTCCCCATGGCATTTTACAACACACGAAAATCAAGTCCAGTGTGAGATACGTCATATCACTACGCGCGCGAGAGATCATCGTTATCGTCTTTTACGACGGTAAATGAAAATATTTTAGGATAACCCTATCATAATGTTCGAATTCTTGATATGCAGCACAGGACATGGAACCCTTAGCGTCGCGAGCGTGTCCTGGAGAGATAAGATGACTGTTTTACTCATTCTAAATTTGCATTGAAATGTGATGATTTTTGTCCTTGACATTGTGTCGTCTTTGCACAATCATATCGGGACACCTTATCCTGTCATATAACGACTGACACAAATGCATTGTTAATTTCTTATCGTGACACGCTTTCTCAACGTGAGTGGAATAATTGAATTGTACTTTACCACGAGAAATAATAGGGATGCTAATTCAGGGAGTGTGGATAGCACCCCGACTGTTCATTAACACCTCAGTCGATGTATGTGGTAATACACTGTAGTATCATTGGCAGTAGAGCTCTTCCACTGACGATTACACGGTACATATGCAATTTGAGAAAGATCCATCGAGTACTTTTAAAGAATAGCGATAACAAACTTTCCAAGTCAAAATCCAAGATGGCCGCCTTTCGGCCATATTTTTTCTGATCAGACCCAAAATCAGATAGACACAAGGGACCAAGGGAACTGACATCTGCAATTTGAGAAAGATCTATCAAGTACTTCTCAAGAAATAGCGAACACAATCTTCATTGAAAATCCAAGATGGCCGCCTGTCAGCCATTTTGTTTGATCAGTCCCAAAATCAACCGGGAACAACTAAAAACCAAGGGGAACCTACATCAGTAACTGGAGAGCGATCCATGCAGTATTCCTCAAGAAAAAGCGATAACAAAAGTTATTTATGGACGGACGGACGGACGGGATAATGGACAAACCACGGACGTACGGCGATTTGAAAATAAAAATAGAAAAACAAACGAAATCCACGGTCTTCTTTAAGCAATCGGTTGAAAATTGCGGGGGGTGACGGACAACGCTATGCCGTCAAAATATGTCAAAAAAGTATATATACTGGGATTTCCCTTTTCATACTTTTCCCGGTAAAAATACAGTTCACCCGAGATGATGACAGCTAAGTTTTTTCATGCGTTAGCAGTTGATTTCAAATTAAGAGATAAAGTATTGTTGAGAAATTTCAATCGAGGAAAAAACTAAATGTCGAAAACAGCCTTTGCACCTTTGCAACCAACCGAGCATTTTTAACTCCACGCTTTATTTATTTATTAAGTTAAGGATGTATTGGCATTCACCAGTGTATAATAACATCGACTAGACGGATTGACTCGGAGATTTTACATCCGGAGCTCAACGACTTGGTCATACAAAAATGTTTGTAGTCGTAATCATCTTGGTCTATTCTTCAATAGCCATGCTAACTGGTCTGATCATGTAAATACATTTATGAAAAGGCTTACAAACGTAGAATGCTTAAATATACAATTGACAGAAATTCGCTTGAAAGAATTCATATCATATTCATTCATCCAATTTTAGAATATGTAGATACAGTGTGGGCAAATTCTACCGAACGAGAGATAACATCCTAGTAAATCCAATGCACATAATCACCAGCTTGAGACAGGGAACAACATCATATCTTATACAGAGAATCTGGTTTATTTCTATTTGTAAAACGTCGTCATCTTCATCAAAATATTTCATTTTCTACGACGTTTAACAATATTTACCTTGGTCATGTTTGTGATTCAATTCAACCTTACATCAATAATAACACTGATCATTATTCTCTTCGTCATAATAGGCTTTTAAATGTTCCATTAGGAAGAACTCAAATATATATTACCTGCTTTCCCCCAAAAATAGACTGACAGGTATAACCCATTTTGTCAGTTCCAACACTGTCGCCCATGTTATTTAAACCCTTTGAAGATGTCCGACATCTTTGTACAAGAGCTAGATTCAGTTACGATTAATTTTATTTTTGCGTTGATTCAGTTCAAGTACATGTAAATATATTCAAATATTGCTGTGACAGTTTTTTGTCTGTTTGTGTTCTGTATGGATTCAGCACCGGGTGTGAATATGTATGTACAACTTGTCTGTGCTGCATTCCATTTTTGACTTTCGGACTGATTCATGCCCCTGTCATATATCATTACCACTAAAAATGTTAGTATTAAGCATTTATCACTGTATTAATTTGTTATTTTACTGGTGTGTATACGTGTATTTAAAAACAAGGAGAGGGTTTTTATAGGCCTGTTGCCCTATTCTTTATGTCAGTAAAATCATGACAAAAAAAAAAAAAAAAACAATAAAAAAAATAATAACATCGACTTGACTCTAGTACTCTTCCGTAGTATATGTAAGTAAACATCCTGTACCATTCTCTATGTAACAGAGGACATTATTTAATTCAATACCTCCGCTTAGATTCGAAATCGAGACCTCTGGTTTACAAGTCTGACGCTCAACCGATCGAGTTAAAGAGAGGTTCTCTCTAACCGATTGGTATTTTGCGGTTGGTAATTTACCAGGGTTATCTACTTCCCCTCGAGTATCCAGAGTTACAGTGTTACGCTAAGTATTACTCCTGATCCCTACAAAGGCGCCAATGTAACCCTGGTAAAATACTCAACTGCAAAATACCAGTCGGACAGAGATCACGGGTTCGAATCCTATTGGAGGCGATGAAATAAATAATGACCCAGAGTCTTCATGTGCCGAGGTTACGTAATCGACGGAGCTATCACCGCCAATTTTTCTTGTATTAAATCATACGTGCATATACATACGAATCGCTTTCACCTTCATCAGTTTTAAGTTGACTAGGTATGGATAAGAATTAATGAGCGTCTGTCAGTTTTCGTAACTACTATTTAGCGTACAGTCTCATTCACATTGTAGGTAAGAACCACGCACGTGTTAAAATTGAGACTACAACATTTAGCGTGAGGTAACAGAAGGCAAACGTCTGTCACTAGAGCAAAAAAATAGCTGTAAACATTGATGCACGATGTTTTCAGCCAATAGATGGCAGTGCGACCATATGTAGCACACGAATAACGACACTTGTCGATGAGGCGAAAGGTCAGTTTGTTACCGCACGGTATGACGAGTGTTATAAAACAAATATATATAGACTATATACAGCTGTATACCCAAAGCACCTCAGAGTTACGCCCCGCCACATACAAGGAGGGATGCCATACTTACCAAACACTTCGACACAACCCCTGCCGATGCCTTTAGACCCTCCAGTGACTATTGTCACCTTGTCCTTGTAACGCTGTTCCACTGACTCCGCCATTAGCAGTGTGGGGTGTTTATACTTCAGTGTAAGTCCGCTATCTCTAAGCGTTATCGTTCACTCAGACCAGTCACTTGTATCCCATACTGCCCTGTGGAGGAAGACAATTACGTTATGTCACAGTTAATATCTTCATATCGTAGCTATCTCGCCATTCTAAACAAAAAATAAGATATATTATTACACATATGAAGATTACACATTCATCAGAATTCATCTCAAATCACGGTGTTTATCAAAGTATTATTGCATAACCTAATACAGTGATGATATAATATCGTATGGTTCAACACGCGAGCTGTTGTAATAATCTTACTGTACGGTTAAAAGACATAGATCGCTGAGAGTACTGGATGGTCTGATTTACAAATAATGTGATTCTATCTTCCGGTGAATGAACTTAAGTCTGAAAACAATCGTTGTCCTTTGACATTCGGTCTAACCATGCATTTTCTTCTACTGATTATTGTTAACCAGTATTTTTCTGTTGTGTTCTCCCTTAACTTATATAGTTAACACAGATGTCATACAATTAATATTTCTTCAAATACATATAAGCTCGGATGTAAATCCGTGTTGTTTTTCGACGTTCACATGAACCATAAAAAATCTTGAAATAAATATTTTGTGCATTTGCCTTTCACTTAGACGTCCGGGGTTCGATTCCCGGAACGGACATGGAAAGGTATGGGATACCTGTATGGGGGAAAAGCCCCGGGTATTCTGGTTTCCTCCTAGGACAAGCCCGCCCATGCATTTTCTTCTACTCTGACTATTGTTAACCAGTATCCATCCGGTCTAACAAGGGTGATTAATATTAACTGGTAGCTTGTTCCGTTATTGTAGTAAATTAGATAAAGTTTATATACAATCAAACATATCCTACATCCGTCTTAGAAATAACAATTTCTTAATATGAATATAAGATTCAAAGTCCAGCCCAACAATGGTATACATATATCTGATTCTCTTCTCAAAACCTTATATACATTTAACAACAAAGTTTTACACTCTTTCTAGGAGCAATATTTTCGCGATAGAGAAAGAAATATTGACCGTATGGTGGTCAATCAAGGACTGAGACATTAAGATTAGGACAATTCTGAAGCGGGACTTTCTCCTAGTAGCTGGTACCTATCTCGGTGGTCAACATACAGAAGGTCTGTCACCCGAGACGCAGCCACACCAGCATATGCGTTTCTCAGTTTCTTTGGAAACACAAACCACTATGGGTAGGGACACACACACACAACGAGGTTAACACTAAGGACAACGCTCTTCCGACCCAGCCATGGCGGGCCTATACAGGGTATTGATACTCTCCGATATTTTGTACATGTCAATAATCGGACTGCTTTTACTCATTTAGTTAAAATGATAAAGACAATTTTTTAATAAGCTTGACAATTCACCAATCTACACACAATAGAGAATAGTTTTGCAATGGCTTGCAACACATGGTCTCTCTGGTCTGGCCTGATCTGGCCTGATCACACCTCCTTGGTCTGATCCAAAACTTTGGCCTGGTCTGGTATGGTCTCGTCCCAAATTTTGGTCTGGTTTCAATGGTCTGCTTTAAAAGTTTGGTCTTGTGGCATCGGTCTAGTCCCTAATTTGGTCTTGTGGCATCGGTCTAGTCCCTAAGTTTGGTCTTGTGACATCGGTCTGGCTCCTAATTTTGGTCTAGTGGTATTGGTTTAGTCCCTACTTTTGGTCTTGTGGCATCTGTCTAGTCCATAATTTTGGTCTTGTATCATGGGTCTGGCTGGCTACTAATTTTGGTCAGGTCTGGTCACATGTTAAAAATATTTCTCATTTCTAAATTGTAAGAAATCACTTACAAACAAGCACGTGTCAAGTGATAAATCCTCACAATTCATACACATTGGTGCTTTCTACTGTCACGTGGATTATAACTTATCACTTTACAGTTACGTATACATTAACATCAGTAGTAGTTTGATGAAGGTAATACTTACCGATATTCTCATTGGACAGTATAGACTTGGACCTTCTCACCATACCATACTTACAGAAGAAAATCTACTGTAATAGGACACCAGTTCACAATAATTAGCCGATGGAAAATCATTCACTGACCCAGTTATTATAATTTTAGGTTCCGCTTAAGCTTTCACCTCTTAACTGCTTTACACATGACTGATCTGTCTACTTTCCTCTTGAATGTGACTCAGCTACTTTTTGTCCAGTGATACAATATGCCAGCACCTTGTCGACTGACGGATTTTATGTATAATAGTCGTTTTTTCTGTAAATTGTATTTTATACTGTAATCTCATGTAACTGGAGGACTTCTAACACTGTTTTTGAAGGAAGGAAGAAACACCTGGGTTTTTTTTTCAAATCATGATCCTTAATATCTAGTTGTTTTACTACAGAAACACATCCATCGATACTCCAGGGGTTATGACCCTCTCCCTGCACCCCTGGAAAATTACATGTACTGGTCGACGTGAAATAAACTATTCTAGTGTTATCCGGCGATGGCAGTTAAAATTCACTGGTTAATTTTCCATTTTTTCCTTAGATATTCACTGATACAGGTTTGTAATTCTGTAAAGACGAGAGAGTTCTATTTTGTATACGTTCATATCTTACGTGTCTATAGCCATGTTTATGTACACAGCATATAGTTTCTTTACCTGTTTTTTAAACGTACTTGTATCAGTCACAAGCTTCTAGTTATCTTATATACATGAATCTGTATTTTTCCTTTTAACTTTTTTTAACGAAAACAATTTTTTCATTATGTGTATAGGTAACTAGACTTCCCGAATGTAACCTAAAGAACTGAAATACATTTATTTTTAAAATGCTAAATTACATGTGTTAGTTGTACAAAAACATTTGTGTCTACATCCAATTGTTTCTGTCTGGATACATAAGAACATAAAGGTAAGCAGTTTTCGAAACTCCCCGTTTATAGTTCCCTGGCCTGAAATGTATATCTCTTTCTCTATGCAATATGTCAACTTCCTTGTATCACGAAACAAATGCAATACATGTAATTGCTTGCAAGGACCGAGTGGTTTAGGCGTCTGACCGTCTATAATGCTAGCCGTCCACCTCTGGGTCGCGGGCTCGAAGCATCAGTGCGTCGGGTAGTCGCTTGGTACTACAAGCCACAGGTCGGTGTATTTTCTGGGAACTCCAGCTGGCCTACACCATTCACGGCTGTTCTCCACCATCCAAAACCAACACGGCCTTAAATGACATTGACTGTTAATAGAACTTGGTGAAATCCCGTCCGATAATTGGAATATGAACTTCATTATACTTATAGATTCTGTTGAAAACTATGCAAAAGAATAGGTGAAACATGCTGCGTTCGATTCATTTTCTAAGCGGGTTAAGTCCATTCTGTCAATCATTCGTAAGATAATTTGCAGCTTGAAGTCTAGAATGAAAACAAAACACAGGTCAGCTTGCCTCGGTCCTGAACTTAAATCTACCTTTCTTCAAAATTTACAGGAGAGATGTGTTATTGTGCCTGCAGGTAAGTTGTCCAACAACTTGATCCTTGTCTGCAGACATTATTACGTTTCCTGTATATAAAAAGAACTGAATCTTTTGAAATCCTGTGTTACGAATTTGTCAATTGAAGATGTCTTAAACGACTATCGTGATAATGGGAACAGGATCTTGAATATCGAATTATCTGCGATAAATTTATCGTCATTGTCAAAGCGGACGCCATATTGAAACACATTTTTTATTGCATCAATTTTAAAGATCAGAAGGGGTAATATTTTTCTTCTGTGTTTGATTACGTCTCGTTAGACCTGCACCTGGCTTTATGAGGTAGCAACGAAATCTAAAGTATGATCCGAATATTTATCTCTGTAGTACCCCAACCCGTCCCACTCAGCAGTGTCACAACCTGTCCCACTCCGCAGTGTCCCAACCCGTCCCACTCAGCAGTGTCACAACCTGTCCCACTCCGCAGTGTCTCAACCCGTCCCACTCAGCATTACCAAACCCATCCCACTGTCGTGAATTGCTGATATATCGTTTAACGCCAATATTATATTGTGTACACATGTATTGTGACGTTATTAGAAATAAGATTCATATCAAGATGATGTTGGTGTTTGTTGCTTCTGTCAATATATCGTTTTATTTTAGTTATTTGTCCTCGAAATTGTTGGTGCCGTGACCAGGATAGAAAATCAACGCAATGGAGAAGCTGAAATCATTAAGGGCCCAACCTGTCCCACTCAGCAGTGCCCCAACCCGTCCCACTCAGCAGCGCCCCAACCCGTCCCAATCAGTAGTACCCCAACCCGTTCCACTCAGCTGTGCCCCAACCCGTCCCACTCAGCAGTGTCCCAACCCGTCCCACTCAGCAGCGCCCCAACCCGTCCCACTCTCAGCAGTGCCCCAACCGGTCCCACTCTCAGCAGTGCCCCAACCTGTCCCACTCAGCAGTGCCCCAACACGTCACACTCTCTCTGTACTTAATTATATCATTTTGTAAATCCAAATGTTTTTGAGAAAGGCTTGATATTACATGTGTCCAATCCCACTGTATATATTTGGAACAAATATTTTTTTTTATTTATTTATTTTTTTTTTATAATTTTTTATTTTTCAAGATTTTACTCGTTGAACAGGACAAATACACTCACACCCTCTCACACATCCAACCACAGGTGCACATATAGTCATTGCGTGTCAAACAAGAACACTCCATTCAAAAGAATCATCAACATCATCATCAACATTCAACAATGCATGTGATCATTATTATTATTATTATTATTATTATTATTATTATCACCATACATGATAATGCTCATATATCACAATCAATATTATTATGTTACACACTAAATAATGCATCATCATCATCATCATCATCATCATCATCATCATCCTCAAAAACATGATAATCTTCCTCATCATCCATTTCAACATATATATCACAATCAATATTACTATCATGATTATTGTACATACTAAATAATGCATCATCATCATCCACATTCAACAATTCATCATCATCATCATCAAATCAAGA